AAATTGAATGAACATGGTCTGAATAGCCCACAGACACACCATAAACATTTCTAGGACCCATAATTGGTCTCCTTTAAAAGTCATATAGAATTGTTTTTCCTCTGGTAAAAATAGTCCACAAATGATCAACATTGTGTCTTTCTCGTCACAAATGTTTATTTACTCTGAACTCACGTCTCTCTGGAGGTCACGTGAGATTTTTCCTCTGACATCTGAATTCTCGCGAGATTTCAGGAAGTCTCGCCTGATTTAATATCTGACATCTGAATCATGAATGAAATATCTTTTCGTGTGTGGTGTGTTATCTCTTGCTGTGTGACTGTACACCACACACTGTAGGACCAAACCTGGTACATCCATGATTTTTTATCCTCATGTGCTGGCCTCTCTCAGTCTTTTAAAATCGGCCGACTGCTTTAAATCTTGTAGTGTGACTCAGCCTTAAGCCACCTGAGAAACTGAGAACTGGCTGATAACTCAGTCTTACAGTTACTGAACTAAAACATGGTGTAGTTATAGCTGAGAATCGTTAACACAACATACTCCAAGTGCTACAAACTGCCTCAAATTTCAACTACTACTGTTGGGAGTCAAGCTTATCTGTCTGTTAGCAAAATATCTTATGAGCTACTAAAAGGATTTTAGTGAAACTCAGATAAAACTCATCAGATGTACATCTACAATCCTGTTCAAGATGAGTGCCACAAAGAGCTACAGCTCAGCCCGTTTTACAGACACTGAGCTCAAATCTGATGTGCTGGTAGTAGTTAGTATCTTTCAGTAAGTTATGTTTGGAAACAAAAGAATCAAAGCTGTTAAAAGGCTCAGTTTAGTCCAATCATCTGTCAGAAGAAACAGAAAATATTGTTCTTACAATGATCATTTTGGGATCTTTCAGCAGTCGTCCAAAGTTCCTCTGCGTCAGGTCCCACAGGAGCTGTGGCACGCTCTCCACCAAGCTCTCAAGAGCTGCTCGATAAAAACACTGAGCGTCCTTCAGGAAGTCCCTTCTGTCCTGGTCGCTCCGGTCCAGGCTGGCGGCCCACATGAAGTCTGAGGCAGGCGAGCCGATCTTCACCTCCACTGTGGGGAGAAGTTCCTTCCGCAGCTGAAGCAGCAGCAACTCGCGCTTCCAGAGGAAGCGTTCGACGGCAGCCGGCCGGAGGAYGCTGGCTGCGTAGGACTGGAAGAGGATGGAGACCAGCTGGAGCTCCACGGTCAGGCTGGCYGTGCCTGACTGCTGCAGGTCCTGCAGGGCCCTGAGGGGCTCCAACGAGTGTGAGAGGAACAAAAAGTGCAGCTTGACCTTTTCATCCAGCAGCTGGGYCTTGATCCGCTCAGTCCTCTCTGAAGGTTTCAGCCGATCAAAATACTCCACCAAGTCCTGCCAGCTGGAGGCCATCTTCTGCACGCTGCTCACGATGAACAGACACTGCGCTGACACCGGCTGCAGCGGGCTGAAGGGTCCCGCGTTACACAACACTTGTTTCAGAGTGGCACTACGGGAGGGGCAGGTGGAGTAGTGATGGTGGATGTCTGTGATCAGGTCAACCACGTGGCTAAAAGAAGCCCCGAGCGCAGCCTGGCAGGCTCTCCCTGCCACCCCATCCAAGCTGCACAGAGACAACATGTTGGGGCTGAAGGTCCTGAGMTGGGCCTCCAGCAGCTGGCTGAGGCCGGGCCGCGGGGCGCTGCAGTAAAACACAGCCATCTTGGACAGAGGCAGAGCCAGCTTCTGCAGCGCCTCCATCAGCAGGCGGGCGTCAGACTGGGCTGCGTGCACCAGGTCCTCCTGAGAGTCCTGTGGGTCCACGGTGTCCACGCTCATCTGCAGCGTGTGCAGCAGCTTCACCACGCTCCCATCGGAGCTCGGGTCGAAGTAGCCCACCAGCACGAAGCTGGAGCTCTGTCCTCCACCCACCTGCACCCCCACGTACAGGTACAGACAGTACGGTGTGTCTGAGGCCAGCTGCAGCAGGTCTTTGGGCTCAGCTGAGTAAATGTTGTTGCAGCAGTGCTTTTTGATGAACGTCACTAAATCACTGCTGGACAAAGCAGCTGCATGGCTCTGAGCAMCAGGCTGAACGCTGTCCTCCTCCTCTGCAGCTGCTTCCTGCTCCAGCGCCACACACGCCCCGTCCTCCTCATCCTCTGAGATCAACAGGATCACATCTGACCTCACGTCTGCTGCTGTCACTGTGGAGGCGCAGTCCATCTTCACACAAAGCTCGTTTCTGAAGAAAAGCTGGGATGAACGCTCATCTGAACCTGAACAGAAAAAAAACACACATTTAAATGTTCTCACTGGTTTTTGACTGCTGCTCACTTCAAACTGTGCATTTTGCTAAATTGTACTGAAAGCCCGGCACATTAATCTCTGAGCACACTGCAGCCAGGCCCAACAGAGACAACCAGGTGTGGCAGAACCAAGGAGGTTCTATAGAACAGCTGGATCTCAGAAACCAGGTGACCGTGTGATCGGCTGGAGAAGCTAACGGCTAACGCTAAATAGTCAAAACTCTGGATTTCCCATTACTGTACATGTTGACAACAGAGCAGAAAAAAAGGACTGACGATGTAGAAATCATTAAAATTATTAATAATATTTATCCAATTATTATTAATATTTTACAGTTTATATAATGTATTTAATGTTTTAAATAATGTCAGAAAAGCTGTTTGTGTTATGGATTTATTAACAGAAGATAAACAGGAAAACGTCTCATTTTACAACAAGTCAGCAGATTTGATCTTATTTAGCTCAATGTGATCTGAGCAGAACATAATGTAACAGTTTAAAATTAAAATAATCTTAC